TGACATACATTTACATGCTTCCCAGTCCAACCCCCTACTTCTTAAACAAACAAGAAAAAAATAAAATAATACAAATAAAATCCAAAGTGTATATCTGAGTGTTCAGAGCAACAAGGGAGGAACCTTAGAAATTTGGAGAGTGCACAGGCTTTTCACTGAGAAAGCAGGAGCAAATCTGACAGAATAAAGATATTTAGAAATCTGAAGTTGCCAGCCTATGGGGTAGACAAGTCCTCTAGCTATACATACTGACATCTTGGTCAGGCTTTGGGTCTGCTGGGTGGGTGCTGACACATCTGAGGGTCATGGACACTCACTAGGCAGGACATGAGAAGACTAAGGGCCAGAAGCCTGAAGCTTTGTCAAGTTTACCTTGTGTTATTTTCCCTCAAATACAGTTTCCAGTGAAGTGCTTTTCGCCAGTCCAAGAGCAGTCTACCTGGCAGGACTTTAATGAATTTGAGGAGCTTGGCCTAATCATAGATTTAAAAAAAAAAAAATAATTAGGTGTTAAGCATTTCTGATGGTGTGGATTTCAGTCTTTCTCTGTAAAATGGAGATACCTGTAATTCCTACTTTATTCACATAAATTAAATGGAAACCATTATACTAAAAAACTGTAAAGATGCTTTGACACTCAGATAATGAGTGTAGTGTGTAAGTAGCTTACTTAAAATGAAGTCACCCACTTTTAAGACATGGTGTAAATGAAACATGACCAGCTTTGTATTCTTGACCTGCAATTCTCAGTAAAACAAAAAAATGACTCATTTGCACATGACAGTCTTTTTGAAATCTTGGCTAATGTCAAAAAGTAGCAGCCAGGTTTTGGCTGAGGAAAAAATTACCTTGAATTCTGCATAGCTCTTAGGTGTGCATATTTACACAAGAATTATAATTCATGAAGAATGATCACAAAGGACTGTACGATGCTTAGTAGGCCACAACTTTCATGAGGGGTTGTCTGCAGGTACCGTCAGGGTATAAATAACAGTATTATCCAACAGATTAGAACATGTAGGCAAATGTGCATTGTTTTATGAGACTGAGATCTAATTCCACTGATTAAATTCCTGATTGGAGGGTAGATTTGTCATTGTCTTACATAGTACCAAATTTTATCTACGTGTCACCAAAAGAAAACTGATCACTCCAAAATCATATATATTGATCTCACTGTGACTTGGCAAAGAGTCAGTGTGCTGATATTCACCCTGTAAGAATATTAGGTATACTGCCCAGAGGCATTAACCTTTGTTTAACCAAAAGGTAAATCTCTTGATAAAAGGCAACATTTTATTACTAGCCACCTGCAACAAATAGCTCATTTCTTACTACTATAACTCAAATGGTGGTACTGAAGAGCAAAACTTGCACTTTACTTCCAGAGGCTCTTGAGTAATTCTCATTGAGGTCATGGATCAAAACTGATTATATAGTTGTAATGATCATGTCCTGCAAGGTGTTATGTCCAGCACAGAGGACTAAACGTAACAGCTGAATCCTGTAAAGGAGACTGTGAACAAATTACCTTCAGTTAAGAATACCAGCCAAGTTGCAGAAAGAGGATGGCTAAGCAGGAAAGATGCTCCTGAAAGCATTGACTCATCCATCCAAAATTAAAGTCCCATTAATAATTTTTTTCTGAGAGAACCTACATAAAGCTGAAAGTCACTTTTATCACCTCAGTTCAGAAACAGCTGGAAACCACAGACCTAGTATTTTTCAATGGCGTTTGAATTAATGATGAGAGAGATTATGTTGTCAAAGGTCCATCAAGTGCAATCTCATCCCCAATCACCAGTGTTTGCTTCATCCTCAGCAGCCTCTCATGTTTTGAGAGCATTTTGCCTCTAATCAAACACTTTAAGCTAGCATTACTTCAGGTCTTTCATTGCATATTTCTCTGCTCTGTAAGATCAAGTTCTGCCCATAAGTATGTGTCTCTGTCTCATGACAGATGGTTTTCTGTGGCGTTCTCCATACCCAGCCTTGTATTTACCTGCCCAGCTTCTACCACAACACTTATGATTTTCTCTCAATAGAGTTTATTTTAATTTATTAAAAGCAAATGTCATTGAGGCTTTTGAAATCTGTAGGCCTAGGCCACAGGAAACAGTACTGCTTTCCAAATTTAATATCCTTTAATGTGTGTGTTGACAGAACATTGACATCTGTTTAATGCTTTCTGTACAAGAATCTATCAGGTCTCCCCTTCTGTATCTTGCCAATCTCAACTATCAGCTTTTGCATTTACAAAACAAATCATGAAGTAAGTAACAATGCAGCTTAAAGTTCCAGAGCCAGAATCTTGCATAAACTTTTTTTTTTTTTAAATAATTATTTTGGAAAGTGCATCTGCTCTTTCAAAAACTTTTAATCACACTGATCTCATGCACCAAGCTGCTATTTAAACAAAAGCCACCCATTTACTGTAAAGCTGCAAAGTAGAGAAGAAAAGCAATGAACTAAAGGGATAGATAATTAATACATAGATGTCCTCTTTGTGCCAACACTGTCAGCAAAGCTGTAGTGCAAATCAGATGTCTCATTGGAGAAAATTTTGGCAGCCTGAAAAGAAACAGCAGCAACCCAAGGGTGTTTCTGAACCTCACTTATAAAACCAGTCTCATGTACTGTAAACTGTCACTTATTTTTAATCCTTGGGATCCCATGTTTTATTTTCAATTTATCAAAGCAAAGGAATGTGAGAGAGGTATCTATTAGACTTCTTCACTCAGCCCCAGGGTTAATTATTCAGTTTGGTAGACATTTAAAAATATTATGTTACCTCTAACAGCAAAATTGATAGAAGCTTGTTTCAGGCTCACTTTATGTCATTATGGCAGACTAAATTAACTAATCATAAATTACACTTGGCTAAAGTACATGTGCTACTTTCTAAACCTGCAGAAGGAAGAGAGAGGCTTTTTTAGTTTTTTTTCTGGTAAGAAGTAAATGCCACCTGGCAAATTTAAGACTATTTCAAACCAATAGACATACATTCAAGTTACAAAAGCTGGAGGCATCCCAAAGATAGCAGTGACAGATTCTGAAGACCATGGCAGCAGTCTTAGCACTGAACCTGTAGCTGCTGTGGAAAGGCATTGACACTGCAATGCTGCAAGGGTATGTCTGCAGATCAAAGAGTAAATACGGCACATTAAAGAATAAAGAAAGTCAAAGAAGAATAAGCATGCTTACATTATTGTTAGATAGTTTTGAATACCAATATGACACAAGAGGTTCATGTTAGCAGCCTCTACTTCCAATGTCACCTTTGATTTTCTGTTCAAAGGAGCTGAATACACCATTTCTGTGTGCTTCCTAGGAAAGGACAGACACATACATCACTGATCCAGAAGACAATATAGTTTTTACAGTGACCCTCTCGTTACCCTCCTCACTGCAGGATGCAGATACCATGCCATCATTCAATCATGCTGATACCATGTCAGCATGATTGAATTCCTAAACAGGGCATTGACAACTGAAGTTAGAGATGTGAGGGAGGAATGGACAGAAAGCACAGGCATTAAAGGCCTCTTCTGTGCAGTATAAAGTATTGAGTCCATAACTATAAGCCATTCGTAGACCAGCTCAATCACATTAACTGAGGACTTTTTTCCTCAGAAAGAAAATAAGGAAGTAGCATTATATTGTATCGCATGTGGATTCACACCTACAGTTGTCAGATAAAAAGCTGAACATTGTTTTGTGATGACCAGACAGTTTGCTTCTGTATAGGAAACAAACTTTGCTGAGCACCTCCAAAAAGAGTCCAAGTAAGATGAACTTTGGCCCAGAGACCATGTTTAGAGGACGGGTAAACAAAGGATTGACAAGTCTACTGTGTTTCTTCAGGTGTCATAGCCTCATGAAGATTTGGGGTTGTCTGAATAGCCCAAACTTAAAAGTGTATATTATAAACTCTTCCGGAAAGGTGCAGCTCTTCCTCTTCACCTGTTCCCAGTTTCCTACTCCACTAGTCCCCTGAGGCAGATGACACTCTTTGTACTATTCAAGCCTTTTTCCCTCATGTTTCCTTCCCATTTCATGTTCTCTAAGAAATACCCCCCAAACCAACTTCTGCGCATGTTGCATACAGCTGCAAAAAAGTCAGAAAGAATGACATACAAGCACACAAGGATTTAGAGGAAAGCAGCAAGGAAGCAAACTGTGTCCCTCACCAATATGCAGATGGCAACGATGAGGTTTAGTCCTACAGTGAAAAAAATTCTAAAAACTCCCTTTGAAAATAAAAGAGAGCTTAGATCACCATCCAGTCACTGGATAACCTATTTTAAGCCCATCAGAGTCAGTTCGCTGTTCTCGTGTTGCTAATTAAAAATGATAGATTCATCAATTAATCTCTCTTTCTGTCCCCTACTCATGGTATAAGATTTTTCAAAGGGACAAATGGTAGTTAGGTGCCCACAAGTATCATTTCAGCCCTGAAAACTTGTGCGTTTGTCAATATGAACCTCGCCTTCTCGCTTTACACTATGAAATGACAAAAAGAAAACCCAAAGAAACTTTGTAACCACAAAAAACACAACAGATTTATAATTTGGTAATAATCTTATCCTCTGTACAATGAATATGCTACATAAATCCTTGCTGGGCTCCAATCTGAACTTTCTCACTGATAGATGAATAAGCTTCTGTTAAATTTGTCACAGAGAGATGTCCTAAGTTTAGGCACTTGATTGAAACTCAATTGCAATACTTACTATGGAGCAGTCAGAGATACTCCACTATTTAAGCAATGAAGGCAATCTATTTTTATGCACATTGAAATGGAGACAAAGATAAAGGCCCTGTTGTTCACTTAGCAAAGTGCCAGTCACATATCGCAAGCCAGGGACATGGTTTATCTTTTCCCCTTTCAGTATGTGTATTGCCAGGCAGCGAAATAGAATTGGAGTGTACAAGGTTAACAAGCCAGCATCATGTTATGAAGCAAGCGATAAAATTGTCTTACAGTTCTTAACTCTGACCTGTTCCAGCGAAAAGCTGCCAAGCAGAATTATGTCATCCTGAACATCTCTCTCAAACTGTTCGATATATGAAGGAATCTCTTCATCTTCAAGCTCCCTGTGAAGGTCATGTGCTTTACTGGAGCTGACAGGCATCACGGAGTCTGGAAAATCCTCACTGGCAACACTGGCTGTTTGAAACAAAAGTGGCAGATTATCTCTTAGCAAACAGGAGTTCATTCACTGGCTAGTACCTTCTCAGTTAACATGTTTGGCCCATCAACATTTTAAAACAACCATTCACGCCATACAATGAACAGTAATAAATAACAGTAGTAGAACAACTGGCGGGTTTCAAGTGCCATTACCAGAAAACATGTCATCAAGGGGAACACCTACATGCAGGTATAAATTTAGCTAATGCAGCTTGTTCTTTAAATAGTTTTTAAAAGGGTGCTCTGCATTTCCATGGTCACATTGCTCCCCTGTAAGTCTTAGAGGAATTGGGATTTAGAGCAACTTTTGACTTTCGGTCCTGAGGAAGAGGAGGAATAACTGCAATTGAAAGAGAGTTTTAGGTGGAGCTACAGTGAACATTTCATTTTCCTTCAACTCGCCCTAGAGGATCAGATTCCTCCTCTAGGTGTGTGCACTCAGTTCCTGCCTAATTAGGTCCAGTTCTGCTCTCACCCACATCATTCCCCTGATTTCATTGCAGTGACTTATGCAGAACCAAAGGGTACGTCCTTTCACAAACAAAAAGAAATCCCATTCATAAAGTTAATCTTAAAGAGAAGCTGTATCCTTTTTTCAGTTTAAATCATCATGCTACATTAAAGAAAAAAAATATTGATTTTCTCATTGATATCTGTTACAAAACTACTACTAGTTTGGGTCATAGATAATGGACATCTACTTTTTGCTCATTTCTCCACATCAGGGTCACTAAGAAATGACAGATATCAGGTTGTCCACATCTGACTTTTGTCCACATTCCTTGCCTTATATTTCTGTGCTCGTTTTTATAGTTCTCTGTGCCTTTTTCTGAAAGAAACTGCCATATCAAGTTATTTGCTTTTCTCTTTGTCCATCCTAAAACATGAAAGCAGTTAAAAGATTTTTTTTTCCTCACTCCCCTTTGAAGTCTCTCGTTCTCTAATGAAGACCAGAAAAGGAAAGATAAAACTAAGGCTATTAACATTTTCAGTTTTGCTCACTACTCATTGTTTAATGACTTTAATTGCTGAGCCTCCTGAGTACTTAAATCACCTCAGTGCCACCAACACACAGGAAGTAGGGTGTTTCTTTTATTTAATTACAACAGGATACAATTCGAAATCATGTTGGGGGAAGTGTACAGTAGATATAAACAACCCAAACCATTACCTGAGGGTACACAATCTCTTCATGTAGCATTTTACAAGCCTAATGAAAAGTGATTTGACCTACAACTATTAACTGCAAAAACAAAACAATATTTACATTTAAATTTACTGTAAGATTAAGGGTTTGGCTAGCAGAGAGAAAATCCAGGAAGTGCTGGAAAATGAAACATTGCCAATAGCAGAAGATGCAGCACCGCTTGTTCTCACTCAGTGCTGTGTTGCACACAACAGGCCATATGCTCAGCTGGTATAAATCAGCTGCTTACTGATTTCACAGGAGCAGTGCAAGTTTACATCCTAGGAAGACTGCACATTCCTATCCTGGGTGTAGAGAGATAGTCATTATATATCAAAAAAAGTTAAAACATGTGGTTCACAAAGGTGACCATGCAGTGATTCAACAAAATACCCTTTTTCTTTTTGTGTTTATTATTTCTGTGAGGAATCAGATCAAGTGAACTCAGTTTTGGTGGAAGACACTGGGATGATTAGCACATGCTTTGTGGAAAAAGAGCAAAAGAAGAGAAAGAACATTTTCAAAAAAAAAACTTTTCAAGGGAAATAACTGCTAAAAACACAGAGAAATTATGATTCAAATTTTATAAATATTTGACAAAAAGATACATATGTTCATTTAAGCACAATTGGAAAATTGTTCATTTTTGAATGAGCTAAAGACAGGGAGGGTAGAATCATAGAATCATAGAACAGTTAGGGTTGGAAAGGACCTTAAGATCATCTAGTTACAACCCCTCTGCCATGGTTAGGGACACCTCACATTAAACCATGTCACCCAAGGCTCTGGCCAACCTGGCCTTGAACACTGCCAGGGATGGAGCATTCACAACTTCCCTGGGGAACCCATTCCAGTGCCTCACCACCCTTACAGTAAAGAACTTCTTCCTTATATCCAATCTAAACTTCCCCTGTTTAAGTTTTAACCCATTACCCCTTGTCCTATCACTACAGTCCCTAATGAAGAGTCCCTCCCCAGCATCCTTATAGCCCCTCTTGAGATACTGGAAGGCTAGAGGAATGGTAAAGGGCTGTTCAGCTGGGTTATTCCTTCTACGCCGGCTTTGCAAAGAAACCTCTGAAACTCCGTCACAGCCAGGTTGCTCCTTGTCTGAACTGACGCACAGGTTAGAGGCTTGAGCTGCCACCCTGGAGCAGTACTTGACCAAAACACAGCCTCCACCTCCTTGCTGTACAAAAGTAGCCATTGTGTTAAAAATATTACTACTCTGTACACATGGGACAAATGGCTGAAAATTTAAGAGGAAATTCATTGGTAGATTGATAACCTAATAAAAAAATGGCAGCTTTAAGTTGTTAGCATCTGCGTCAAACTTTTCATTGTCTCGGCTGTACTTAATACTGCGAGTCATACTTTCTGCGTAGTTTAAATCACTTCTTAGCACAAGCTGTATTTGCAGATGCTGTGCTGTAATTAAAAGAATCTCTTCAGTATTAATTTGGCTGCTTGTATCTTCATTTACTCCTGCATTTGTCCTTCAGACAGTAATGGTTTAATATGCTGAAATGAGAATTTAAAGGGTAGGTTCACCAGCAGACTAGACCTCAGCATGGGTTTGAATGTATAAAGCAGCTATAAACTCCACATGGAAAATGCACTTTGGCTGCTTTGTTCTAGAAGACTCTGTATAAATTGTAGTCAAAAAAACTACATCACCAAAGGCTCAGTTTCAGACAACTAAAATGTTGCAAACCATAGCACTTCAATTTTTCAGTTGTTACCAGGAAGTAATATAATAGAAAGTATTTTTAATGGTGTTCACCTAGCATCACTTTAGACGCACATGGATCACAATCTTACATAGTTTGAGAGATGTTTGGTCTACATCTTCTCTAAAAAAACACTGTTGCCTTTTAAGTTGCTGTATAATATGAACTAACACATGAGTGACCAACAGGTTACTCAGCAGCAAAATGCTTTAAATATGCAATTATATAAATTCTGAGCCATGTTCTTTTCTTTCCTTTGGGGATGATCTATTAATTAGAACTGTATGACTACGTGATTTTTCAGCTCAGTGGTCAAATGAAGAAAAGAAGCAGTTCCATAAGAGTGGAACCAAATGAATCCTAGTTTTCTATGGATTTTCTGATGTCTAATAAGGGTCAAACTCCCATATTAGCTTTCCCTCAGTGGAGACATTAATAATGCCTGTCTGCTCTGTTCAGCTGCCCGCTTTCATAGAACTGGTAGGGATGTCAGACCTGTGAGACTTATTCTCTGTTAAAAAAGAAAAAAACAACAACAAGGGCATTGGAAGTGAACAACAGGTTCAAAAATTGGGAGGGAGAAACACAGGTAGAAATAAATACAGCCTGATATACACACACAGAGGTAGAGACTGCACAAGCCTCATTTTCTCAGGAAAAAAAAAATTGCTTTTTCCTGGGTTTTATTCACCCAAGCCAAGCCAAGTGAAAAATTCAGGTAGGACAGGCCGTAATATTAACCCATAGGACCAGCTCTGATACCCATTGTGGCATTTTTAAGAAATAAAAGCACTGAGGCCCAAGACACAAGACAGCAGCAGTCTGTGGTGTCTCCATCACTCGCTGCCTTCTTACCTACATGGGGGGCTCTGACATGCATCTGGAATGCAAGACATACATGTTAATGCATTTGCTTGCCCTTGAATTGAATCAGTGAGCTGGCAGCTCAGCAACCTTGGCAGCCTCAACGCAAGATCACCATCCACAGAGTGATGTATGTTCCATGGCTTTGGATGCCTCTCACCCACATAGCTTAACAGTAATAAGAGCATTCTGCCTTTCATGGGGGTTTGATAAAACCAGTTGGAGAAAAAGACATTTCTAGTTCAAACATACCTGGTGTGCTCATATTATAAACATTTGCGGAGATCCGTGAAACCAGATTTCTCTCTAAATATGTTATTTTCTATTATCCTCTGTAAAGCATCTGTTTGTTCATCTTAACAATGTTCATTAATGTTATTTGCAATGTAAGATGAGGTTTTAGGGCACCTAACTGAAGGAAAGAGTAAGTACTGATATATGGGGAAGGTTTTCCCTTTATTCCCTGGTTCCCTTGCTTACAAGTAGACAAGTACTCATGGTACAATTTGGCTCACTTGCTTTTAGCTATGCAAAAAGGATGGACAAGTCTAAGTGAGCTATCCAAGAGCCTTCTATATGCAAAGGAAAGAGAAGAACTGCTTCCAGGGCACAATTTGTCTAATCAGCTAAGAGGTGTCTGCATGAGGTGGACTGAACCACTACCCAGAGGTGCTTCTCTCTCCCACCACTTTGGGAGAGCCACAGAAGCTGTCTTTCAGAAAGCTAATGGAAAAGGTATTGGACCCCACCCTGGGGCAGCCTGTAAAATGACATCATGACATTTTCCTTCATCATACAGGGTTATTAAGGAATATGAAATGCTAAAAATATTGGTAAACAGGGACTACATAAGTAGCTCAAATAGACACCCCATGTCAATCTTTCCTATAAAAGTAAGGTTGGCTTCACCGCCAAACAAGATTTTATTTTAACTATGTTGTTGCAGGATAAAAGCAGCATTGCTACAATCTCTCTCAGCAACATAGAGCTTTAACGTAACATACAAAAATAGAGAGCTTGCTAATAATTATTTAAAGAATTTTGCTTAAGGTATCTGCATGAATTTAGCAGGGAATTTGGTGATAGTTGTACTTTTTTTATTCCTCACATCTAAAAGGAGGCAAAACAGGTTTCAAAGACAGTACTACTGTGACCAGTGCCAGTTCAAGGGATTTTGCAATCCTATGCGAATGAAAATGTTTGCCTCTTCTAGAATAAAGTTGCTCACAAACTATATAGTTATAAAACATGTTGCAGCTTCTGGAGCTCCAGTGCTGTAGGCAACTGTCCACTCTGTTTCTCTGACAGTATTTTTATATATTTCTCTGAATATAACTGAAATATAACAGGAAACCTCATAGAGGTTAAAAAAAAAAAAAAGCAACCCAGAGAATATATTTGCACCATAGACCTACTGAAAAAGGAGGGGTGGGGGTGCAAACATATAAGGGCATCACTGAGCCAGGGCTTGTTCATATGTTACTTCTCCTAGGATTAACCAGATGAGAGCAGCAGACATGCAGCTTTTCTAAAGGCTGTGGTGGAGACAGTCTCGTGAATCAGCTGGGTGCTAAATAATGCCTGTAAAAATAAGTGAATCCAAAGTAAGGCTGTCGGCTTGAGGTAAAGAAATCTCTTCTCTCAGACTTTGTTGTTTTTAATGCAGATGCAACATCAGTTAGTATTTTATAACAAAGCCACAGAAAACATTTTCTTACCTATTAATGTAAATCCTCAAGTAGATAAACAGTACGTGATGTGACCCGTGTATCTGACAAATGATCCAATCATTTATGAACTTAAATAATAATTTAGATTTCTAGCTTTGAGCATATTAGCAATGATATTTCCAGTCTTCTTTCATAAGAGTGGAATTCAACATGTAATTAAGTAACCTAGAGAAAGCACTCACTTCAGTGATACTTAAAACCACATAAACATGACTCAAAACAAAAACATTTGGGCAAAAAAGATCTTACAGGCTCGCATTAAAATCAATGTCCTTTTTGGTTCTGAGTTCAATGGGATAGATTACCCACTCTCCTCCCCACATCCAGACTCAAGAGTTTTAGTTTTCTTTATGCAAATATTTGTTATTTACCTTGTAAGTCCAGCGTTATGTTTTCTTCATCTAGAAGCTTCATCAATTTACCATAGAGGATTTGCTCATCAAATTTCACAGGATCTTAAAATAAAAACCAAAAGAACAGAAAATTATCTATTGTTCCTTCCAGTAGTATTTCAAGAAACGCTGTTTTAACTTTTATTTTTTATTATAAAAGCACAAAACCTAGTAAACCATTTGACGCTTTAAAATAGTTTTCACAGTGATAGCTTCATCAGAGGTGACTGTCATTTTCTTCTGAGTCCTGAAAGACAGTTTAAAATATAAAAAAAAAAACTTATATATTTTTAAATTGTGAGGAATAACTTGATCTGAACTGAAATTGGTTTACTAACCTGCTAATAGACTAGTTGAAATTATCATTTATATTCAAATTACCAGATGAATTCCATTTGACTCTTAATAAAAGTCAAAGTACCTAATTTCTCCTATAATGTGCTTCTGGATCTGCATTAGAAATTTTACCTTGCTGTCCATAATACTAACACACTCTCTAGTATGAGTAGTCATTACAGCATGCAACGAATTTTAAATTCCTGGCTGGTCAGTCATTCAAATTCCCAGCAACATTTACAGATTTTAAAAAGGAACAAGGGACACATAGACACATACCTTCTTCCATGACACCTAGAAAATCACTTCAAGTGTATATATTCAAGGGAGAAATGATCAGTTGAGACTGTCCAGATCTCCCAGACCCTGGCTTCTCTAAGTTGCCAGTGGAGACAGGCAAGTAGGACAGAGAAACGCATACATGGTAGGTGAATTGAAATACAGCTACAAGCAACCCTGTGTGGCTCATTTTAAGTGCCTGATACAGTATCAAAGAATAAGTTTTCTTTACCCTGAAATTTCAAAGCTGAGTGCTCCAGTTATACTTAAAATTCAGAGAGGGAGGTTTTTGCAAATCTCTTCTGCAAGTACAGAATCTTTTACGTTTCTTTGAGCATGTAGCATGTAGTTCCCTTGGTGAGAGGGAAGCAAATTCATAGTGAGGTGGTGTTTGTTCTCAGGGCATTATCAACTCAAATTTCCAGAATAAATTTAATTTATCAAATACAGAAAAGATAATTGCCAATATCTTCATTCCCACAGAATAACCCATTATAGAATCCCATATGATGAACACATTAAAATTATATTTAACTTTGTATAATGGAGTTAGTGGCTGAAGATTTGCTTTTCACCACCTATTCTATTTGGGCATTGAGCCTGACTTGCCTAAGTCATAAGAAGAGGGTAACTTCAAAGTGTGCCCTGATTTCTCCATCTTGTTCTGATTTTGTCTTGTCAATGACAAGCTGCTAGCTGGAAAGAAGAAGTAAACAAATACAGTTTCCAATCAGGAGATGACCATGTAGGACCAGACTTCAGTCCTGACTACACTTTTAACTCCGTCCACTACATACAAATGTAGTTCCATTTATTTAACACTTCTGCAAAGAAATGGAAACCAAATCATGAGCCTGGTTTGTGAGTATCAGGGACCTCTGGAAGTCATATGGTCCAACCGCCACAGTCAAAAAGAGCTAGCTACAGCCAAGTTGCCCAGGACCATGTCCAGACAGCTTTTGCGTATCTCCAAGGTAGAAGCCTTGCTTTTGGCAGATAAATTTAGATCTTTTTGGAAAATATAACATTACAACTGCTCTGAAGATTTAAACACAACCAAACTGAGGCCAGCACCATTGCTAACAGACCTTTAATAAACAAGTGTTACCCCAACCTTTGGGTGACAATTTTGCTGGGGAGAAAAAGGAGAAACACCAAAGGACAGCTTTTCACATCTGGATCTCATGTCTAGTCTTTAGGCAAGTGCCTAAAAACACCTCTTCAACCCCACTCCCAGAAACGGATAGAGTTACAGACTTTCTCAGAGCCTTCAGGTGTTCTAAATAAAAAAAAAATTAAAATAATAAAAAAATAAGGTTAACTATGTATCGCACCCCTTCAACACAGACAAAAGAACATCTTCTCCCACAGAAAATTGTACTTCCCTATATCCCTTATGTCACCACTCTATCTGTACATGTTTTTAAGCACACGTGTAGTTACAGAAATCTAATCTGGTTTTCATTCGCTGCTTATGAAGCAGATCATGACTCAATGAAGTCTATTCATAAGATGAAGCAAGGCAGTACCAACAGAAAAAAAAAAAGTCTTTCATTTAAACACTGAGCCAGAAGTTGGCTTCATTGCTGTCCTGTGTAGAAAATGGGGAAATATAGGGGTCAGGAGTTAGTTGTAATTCACTCTTGATAAACCCTGATTTTTTTTCTCCAGAACACAAAAATTAAAGTTACTGACATGCATCAGACCCTATTTTTCTCAGTCACACGTTTCTACCTCAAAAATTTAAACCTCCGTACCTACTCAAAGTTTCTCATGATTTCCAGAGACTCTTTCACTAGACAAGTTTCTTTAGATTTGACTTACAACTGTGTGTCTCAAGAATTGCTGCAGTATACATAGCACAAGGTTTAAAAATGTGAAGCACTATGAAAGCAACAGAGGAAATCTGGGTCTTGCGTGCTATCACCTTGTTAGTGCTTAACAAAAGAAGCTGGGCCAAAGCACTCAGTGCATAGCTAAGCACTTCATTACCGCGATGATGTTCTTACTTAAGTCCATGCAAATTCAGGCAGGCCCGTTCCCACCCGCTCTTTTATCTGAAAGCCATGACAGCGAAAGAATTTCCTCCGCTAGACAATACCTCTTGGTTAATCTTTCTCATACCTATGGATAACTTCTTCCAGCTCAGCAAAGTCACACCCTCCACTCCTCACTATCGCTCACAGACAGCAAAGCTAAACATCTCTGCTAAACTGGCAAAAAGAAATCCAAAAAAGCCTCCTCATGTGCTGGGAACTGTTACAGACTCTGGGGTTTCCTTCTGTTAGGCAAACGCACTTTCAGCGGAGTACAAAAACTGTTCTTTAAGGAGGACTTTGGGAGCTGGGTTGCAAAAAAGCTACAGCTTAGTACTCAGCTCTGGCCTAAGTTCGTTAATTAAAGAGAACATGGCGCAGACAATGTTCTCTGAGCGAGCTTCATTTTGCTATGGTAATGAAGTGAACACAGCACAGCCTCACTTTTACCCGTCCATTAACTCACTGTCCTTGATCAAAGACTATGTATACTGCCTATCCTGTTCAGAGCGGTTAAGGCTTATAATTTAAATTGTAAACCTCAATATTTAAATAGAACTGCATATGTGATCTTTGTCACCTCATTTTCATGAATGGAAAAGAATATTCTGACACCAAAATTACATACTTAATTCTGCCTCACCTTCTTCACTGACCTCCATCCCACACTGCCTTGGGTTTATTTCCTCATCCATCAACAGGTCAAAGTAATTTCTGCTGTATTCATTTCCTGTGGAAAGCACATGAAGTAAGGGTCAGCGATTATTAGAAGCACATGAACCAAAATGTTAATTTCGAAATCGACACCAGCAAGTAAAGGGGCATTTTTTGCTACTTTATAAGCTTAATTTTTTTAAACAAGTCCTCTAAGCCTACTAGTACTGCAATTATCATCTTGTGAAAGGTCAGAAAAGGTAATTCTGGAAACAAGTGCACTTTATGTTACTTTTGCTCAGCAACTAATGAGAAAAATTCTCAAATTTAGATGATAGAATGATAAGAAAATTTAAAGAAATGCAGCATCCCCAACGTAAAACAAATTTTTCTTGAAACACATTGTACAAGTGAATTACCATGCTGCAGAGGAATTTGTGTTTCACAGCTGACCCCTCCAATTTCAACAGTTTTAAATTTCACCACTGAGGTTTCAACGTCTGGTGCATCTTTAATACTGTATTCAACCATAGAAGTGTTTAATTACAGAGGAGATACTACAATACTGCCTCATTAATCTGAACGGCAATTATGTTCAGTTGGGCTAGGTAACTACAAGATGATTTTGATGGGATAAAACCACTCATTTTAGCACTTCCATTTCAACAGCTAGTTTTATCTGCTTTTTAGAAGCTAATCAAGTTTACAAACAAAAGTCATTTGTTAGACTTATAAAGGAATAATGCAGCATTCTAGCTGCCTAGAGGAACTCTGTAAAAGCCAAAATACTTTTCTTTACACAAGGAAGGAGGGAGGGCTTTTTCCTCAAAACGTATCCTTCCTTCAGCAAAAGTGCTACACTTTATTAAAGACATCCTCATGTTCATTTGGTTTGTAAACAGAGTAAATTATCACTGAAGAGATTAAAAGTGAAATAATTAAGTCCATAACAAATTTTAAAATTGCTTAGATAGACATAGATCTATACCCTGGAAAATACATAAGAACTAAAAGTACAAGGGGGTTAATTCATCCAAGATACACTATAGTAGTCTGCAGTGTATTTGTTTTAGGATCAAAAACAATCCAAGCAGCAGCTCCTTTTCAGAGACTAAATGAAACTTTGATATGAAACTAGGTTTAATTTATATTTCTGGACTGGCACATTTTGACTGTCAGTCTCTGTTCCTTCAATGTAGTAAGTACAAGAACTGAAAATTTGCTTTACCTTGAGGTCTCAATAAAGAAAAAATAAATGAGTTTCATTTTTGTTACTTTATCTGTCAACAACTACTAGGCTGGTATGAATCTTGGCAGTATGTAATCAAAGTCTTATGTACTGCAATAACAGAGCCATTCTACCTTATTCACTGTAATTGTTTTTCTCTAGCACAAAGCACTGTGATGTTATATGAACACCCCTTCACATGTTGGCAAAATAATTCGCCTATGTGCTAAAAAAGAAAATAATGATGCATTTCTTTATTCAATTACTTCATAGTTGTAAATGTAAATTGCTGGAAAGTATGTTGCAACCATACAGGCAATATTCAGCTAGTGCATATGCTTTTTGTATAGTCTTAATAGCACAACAGCTTTTATTGAATTTTAATGCCCCATATTCTTTATTCTGGGGATCTGGTGTGAAACTCTGAGGATTAGACTCTTGGACAGCACTTCTGGACAGAATAATTGGCATTTAGGAGGAAGTGTCATGTTATATTTGAGTCTGTGAGGCATGGAAACCATTATTCAAGGAAGACATACATTGACAAATGCCATTAAACAGCTTGCTCTTTGGACTTTAACTAAGAAAAAAAAAGAAAGAGATAAAAAGGAAAGAGCAACCTCAACCTGTCTTTGAGGACTATGAGATATTTTGTCCAGGACTTTGGGTCTGTCAGAACTGCACACAGCTAAAGAGAGAAAATTATGCAGAAGTAAAAAGAAGAACCGTGTTTGATTTCTCCAGAGCAACATGCATACTTTCAAACCTACATAGGTAGAATGAATGGTAAATGCCAGAATCACCTCCTTGTGATTTTATAGATAAGTCAGTTTAAACTGCAGGACTCCACAGAAGACTTTCAGTGAGGCTTTCTGAAGATTCAGAATTGCTGCAAACCTTAGATCATGGCTCTTGGTGGGAGAGGTGGTATTGGCCTTTTCCCCCCTCAGTGCAACATACACCTTGAGAACTGCTGTGACCAGGAAGCCTGGGCTCTGGGCAGGTCCTAAGATTTGTTTGGGGCAGGAGAATTTGCTTTAGTTTTAAAATACAAAATTATCAATTTTAGTCAACATAACATACTGCCCAAGGCATTTTTCTAATAACATTTTGTGAGCACATGAACGGATTACTAATCATTTCACATTTGCTTTTGGAAATATTTGAAAGCGTATAACGTGTAAATTAACAGTCCACTAAGGAATTCACATCCCTCTGCTTTGTGGCATAAACACAGCAAATGTTAATACAGAGCTTGCTTGCAGGTATTTTCAACAGCATGTGTTTAGCTTGGTGCTTTCGGACAGCAAGTTGCTTTGAATACCTGCTCCTACAAAGAACTGGCCAACTTCAGAAACACAGGTCTTTGCTTTGATCCAGAAGTTCACTCAAATCCATTAACTCAATCTGAAACCCTATTCACCCCTAAAAATTGTGTTATTTCATGTGGAAAACACAATGGATAATTCAGGAAATCAGAATCGAACTCCAAAACCATAGATTATCTATACATTAAAATAAAAATTGAAGGAAAGGTGTTGGCACAACAGTGACCAGGTGGGAATTTATACAGTTTAATTAAAGCAAGAGGAGTTGCTAATAAAATTAGCATGATCCTTAGATGCAGCCCATGGGACTACACACATATTACTAGGACTGGATGAAACTCTAAGATGGCTTTTAAGCTGTCTGTAGTCAATTATATAGTCTATGTCCTGAGAGTACCACAGAAATTACATGACTAAACTGCATTTCTACGTCTGCTACTCCACAAAGTGATCAGGTAGCCCATGTCAATATCACATGAAGAGTACAGCACAGAATTTGGATAACAAGCAATTATTCAATTCACATTGTACTACTGATCTAGGTTTTTAGTTTAATGAAATAATAGACAAAGCTCTGCTAGACTTCAGTGCCTCCTGACCAATGAAAAAAATGAAGAAATTATTAACAACCAGGTGACTGATTACTAAAAGCTTGAATAGGCATTTACTGGTGCTTGTTTTCAGAGTGATGCTGATATGTTAGGGATATAAGCAAAAATGCGTGAGCCAGGTTTCATTAGAAAACAGAATGCTGAGAAACTTGCCTTATTAAATAACAGCTCTCCTTTTTCAGGCAGCAGTGTGGTCAACACGTCTACCAATGACTTAGTAGAACATTACTGGGCATTAATAAGGCAATTCATAAAAACCTTTTGTTTAAGGTAAGAGTAAGACAGAGGCATTTTGAAAAGATGACATTCTGGTCTGAGGCAGAATTTTGATACATACTAATTCAGTCAGAAACAGACAAGAGTTGTCCTCCTTTCCACACAACTCTCTTAAAGGACTGATTTCAGCAGCAATTCCTGTTAGTGAACATGATGGTAGATACTCACTGTATCCATTTAACAGAATTGAACTAATTTGCTAGAGATACTTTTCATTTTACTTTGCATATAAGGCCCTTTGGACAGCCCAAACATAAGGTTCTGTGCTAACATATTTCCTGGTTTCTTTATAAGTGTATGCGACCACGTGAGGCAAAGAGGCATTCTGGAGTCAGACCTGAATCCCCTCTAGAAGAGGTGCCCACCTCACTTGGCCATTAAGGACTAAGTCTTGGAATGAGGAGGAAAGGGAGAAATGGGTACCACCTCCTGCGTTTCCAGCTGCTTCACTTACTCACCTTTACTCAAAACATGGTGGGTCTGTGACTAGGACTCCTGCTCACTTATTTTCATGATTCAGTACCTACATTGACAAATTTGATATCTGTAAGTTGTGTCTTTGTAGATACAGGCATTTGCTTCTAATCTGCATTTTGGAAAAAAAAAAATCTATAAAGGTCTACAAAACAATTAAAGCATAAGAATGGAGAAAGAAGCCTGCCCCGTTAAAACCAACAAAATCTCACAAAATGCAGAAGAGAAAAAAAACAAAAATCATCAACCCAAACTTCATAAACAGTGAGGAGAGTTCCTGCACAGTGAAAAACTGGCTGTATTTCCAGAGAATTTATATGCTTTTAGTTGATTAAACAACAATTTAAAACTGGAAAATAATTTAAGAAAGTTTGCAACTTTCAGAAGATCAAAGTTCTGGGGCTTACTCCATTATATATAATTGAATGAAGATGTTAAAAAAAAACACTTCAGTTTTGAAAAACATAGTGAACTGATATATAATGCACAAAACATCCAAGAAAATGTTAATTGTCCATTCTTACTTTTTCAATAAAAAGAAATGAAGAATTATGAAGAGTTAACCAGAAGTTATATTTTTTGTATGTATTTTTAATTACCATTGCTGAACCATGATATTTGTTACATTTACCTCAGCTTGTGGCTATTAGAAATGCCTTTAATTAAGTTTGTATAGTCTGATCTAGGTTACACATAGAAGCTGAATACCTTAAGATATATCGTTACTGAGTTATATTTACATCTTACATTATCATCTACAAGTATAGATATTATATATATTATTTTAGCTGCAGATCTAAATTAAGATTGCTGGGAAGCACAGTGTCATTCCAGATAGTAACCAAATACATGTTGGGGTGGGGGTAGAGTGTTTTACGCAGAGATTCAAATTTTCATGAGTACCAAGCAGAATTCAATGAAAAATTGCACATTAATGGTATCCTCAAACTAAGGAACATTAGGCAACTGACTGGACAGTAAATTATACCTTGAAAACAACAGCTTGTTAAAAACTACCATCACCAGGCAACATCTCAATTTTAAAAAGTTTTAAGGGTATCGTATGTCATTTTCCTTAACCTCAATGGAGACCGTAGGTAATGAGTAAACCACATAACTGTGTCTTATGTTTATATTGCAAGCCTTGAATAAACTCACT